ATTTCATTTTATAATCCAATCATTTGACTTATAACATGAATGGAACGCTATCATGTAGCTGAAATAATAAAGCCTAAACTTCAAGCTCACATTCCAATTCATTGATGCATATGAGGAATATATGTTTCATGGTATCTATGGTAATGATTCACATGCAAGTTTTACTTCTATTAGTCATTTTGCCCGAAGGCTCTTCCCTATCTTGACAAGACATGGAAGTAACTGGAGACAGATAGAGGTTGTAAGGGGGTAGCTACCTCTGTACTTTATTAATGTCACGGTCTCCACTGTAGGCATATAATTAACGAACATTGCACTTTAGTGGGCCCTGGTATTCGCTTAAAACAAAGATCATATTCGAGCCACATTGTACTACTTTTAATAGCTACTTGCTACCTCTATATAGAAAACTGCCCGGATTGGTGCCTGTTCGTCCCCCATAATCCTCTTTTTCTTATGTTAATTGAGAGCTGAGTAAATGAGATAGCCACCTGTCGGTGACCTCGCTGTGTGGTCTAATCCCTTCTGGATGAACTAGTACAGCCGGCCTTTAAAGCACTGAATATATTTATTAGTAGAAGAAGAAAAATAGTCCATGTAATCTTTAGGAGTACATTGCAACATGAACCACTTTTGTGTACTTGTCTTTTAGTTGCTATAAAGCAGTTTCTATAGAAACAGCTATGCCTCTCTTGGCAGTCAATATATTTATATATATTTATACACTTTACCAGTCAATTAAAAACAAAAAAAATAGTAGATGTTTCTGCATTTATTGATAAATCAAATATAAAACATTTGAATAACAATAATATTATAATAAGATTCAACCAAATAATTTCAAAGCAGATTGGTTATCTAAAAACTGGAAATAACTAAATATATGTCAGTGACGTATCCCGAAATTAATGCACAAGGGATAGAATCCTCCCCCTCCCCTCCCCCGACCTCGAAATGATAGGGGAATCTAAGCTAGGCAAGGCAGTATCATGACAGCCCAATGTGTTTCAGTAAAATTGTCAGTTAACTTCATCCAACGGTATTCAAACATGGGTTGGGACGTTCGCCTGGGGGTGGGGGGGGGGGGGGGCATGTACGCTGCCCCCGATTACGCCAGTGACGGCTGATGGGTAAAAGTACGAGAAGGTTGCGTGCAAGACGAGACGAAAGTAAGCGAAGGACATCACATGCTGTTTGACTATGAATCACATCGTTGTATCACCAATTAAAGCACCACGAAGACTCTTCAGTTGGTAATTTGTTCTTAATTGGTGAACTGATAGGACAATGTTAGTCACCAATCCAAGGTTACGTTTATTTGTCAATAACTATTGTCAGTTTAATTTCAATATAACTATATTAAAAATCGTTATTATCAGCAAAGGATGTTATTTGGACAGGTGAGGTGTACAAAATAATACAAACAAATACAATCATGCCATGCGTTACTTTCCAAGACGACTTATCTTTGATTGATGTTTGAAGTTAGTGGCTCCCTACCCACCCTCCCCCTCCCTCCTCGTTTACAAAAAACGTAATCCCCCCAGGCCTGAACCAAACAATACAAACACGGACGGCTGCCAAGTTCCTCTATTCATAATGTAGAGTCAAACAAAAGTTCTCCCCCTTTTAGCCGCCCATAGAACATTGACGGTTTGAAACATTTATTTCCCGTTAATCATAACTCAAAACAGCTTCCATCGTCAGCATCACTCGTCGTTAAATGCAAAATGCGAAATAAAACGAAAAACATTTTGTGTTTGTAGTTTAAAGGGGGAACAAACGTGTTCTACACGGTCATTCTTACTTCAAATTTTATATCTCTGGCAACGGAAATTGATTTGAAGGATTAATTAATACATTGTTTAGGTTTAAACCACCCATTTTTGAAATAGGACTCATAGAAACACAACAAATGCCATCGTGAGAATACAGCCTTAGCCACGTTAGTCATTAGAACAATCATTGCTGTATTATGGTGACCTGGCGGGGTGCTAGACAGTCGAGGGCTTGCTTCCGACATAGACTGACAGTAATTATATCAAACCGATGACTTTGATTGACTCCAAAAGTCTCATTTACTGACATTATATTGTATTACAGAAAGACTGTTTCATGATCTTATATAGGCCTTACCGCTATATTATGATACAAAGTACAGTCACAGCATAACCAAATAGCACACACGCTTGTGCTCTAGAAAACATTGAAATGATAATGAGAAAACTCTGTAAAAAAAATAGGTCCTGTATATTTATATAAAGTGAATTACAAATAGTCTTTTCGAAAAAGCACAATGAAAAAGAATAAACGAAACAAAACAAAGTTTGGGATATTTTAGAAATTTACTTTGTTACCATTTATTTGTTTACACATGTATAACCATATGAGCAATTAATTGGTGTTAAAGAAGACAAAACGTTCATGTGCTATACTCATCCAGATAGAGAGAGAGCGCGATAAAAAGACAGAGATACAGAGACAGAAAGAGATAGAGGGGGGAGAGAGGAGAGAGGGAGAGATAGAGAGAGAGAGAGAGAGATGGAGAGAGAGGGAGAGAAGGGGGGGGGGGGGAGGGGGGCAAGTGTGCTAATGATGACACAGGGGATAGATTACCGTTTAATGACCCTTTGCTCTAAATCAATATTTCCAGAGGAGAGAACTACTGATCTAAGAAATGTTGTTACTTAAAAGTCTTTATGACTTGTTGAATGATCTCACGGTGTATTTGCACATGTAATAATGCTGCCATTTTAAGATTTCAATATGCTCGTTTCAATCAACATTAAGAAGATCGCAACTACTTTAAAAAAAGATTAACTCAAGTGCATACATTGTGTGCGGGTAAGCCTGGATCCGATGACCGGGGTATTAATATATCTGTAAAGCGCTTAGGCACATCCTTGGATCGATGTATTGAGCGCTATATAAACACGGAATATTATTATTATTAATATTATAAGAATCATGTTTGGATTACGTAACAGGTCACTCAGTTGTAATGTTTTCACATTTAAAAAGGTGACGTTCACGGCCATTAAAATCGGCCTTCGGTTGATTTTGCGAAAGTAGTTTGCGATCGTGATCATTGTACGCACACCTGATTTTACCGGTCTGTTGGCTAATGAGAAAACGGGCGGGAATGATAAAATGCCAATATTCCGCTTATAAAGCGCTTAATACGATTTCTCTAAGCGCTTTACAGATATACTATTACCCCGGTCATTGGATTCATTACTTGCCCGCACACTGTGTGCACATTCTCCACTCCCTGGGGAGCATTCCAGTCAGGCATTAGTTGACGCTCACAAAACTGTTTGACCAACAATGATGGTCGCATCCTACCGGGTACCCATTACACTCCTGGGTGGAGTGTAGTAAGTGCAGGTTAATATTTTGCCAAAGGATATTAGTGCCGTGTCGGGATTCGAACCCTCGACCTTCGCGTCTCCAGTCAAGCGCCTTAAACAACTCGGCCACGACACTCCCACGTCATTCCGTAACAAACCTACATGTATATACAATATAATATTTTATAAACTTGATGCATTGATAATAGGAATCCCCATTCTTGTGAAGTATCTCATATTAGTTTGTAGATATAAACAAAATGAACAATCTATAATATTCTTCATGCAAAATATTAATTTCTCTTGGGGAAACATCATTCCATAACGCTTAGGACTGATCAGAACGGCTACATTTTTTTGTTCTTGGTCAGAAATCTGTCAGGTGGGGCAGATTGCCGCCCCTTGCATCTTCCTTCAAATACGGGAGTGGAGCTAGCGAACGGTAGTAATCAATTACCGACCTGATTATGAGCGGACAATTGCTGATGTGATTGTGGGATTTGCCGCACAGGTGTAAACGGGAGTGTGCTTAATACGCCGGGTGGTCTAAGCCAGATATTTCCTCTAAGGCCCAACAAAAAAAGATATTGTATTGCCCTTTGCGACCAACCCAAACATCTTGAAATCTACGGTCGGCTTAAAAAAAAAATTATAACCGTTTTGTAGAGATTAAAAAAATTAAAGCCTTCAAAACTGAGAAATATCAGCCTAAAGAGGAAGACAAAACAGGAAAAAAAGTTTAAAAAAAAAGAAGATTTCCGACCGACCAACCCATGTTTTTGCACCTAAAGGGCAATACAACATCTTTTTTATTAGGACTTATGCAAATAGTTTACAGGCACAACCCACTCTCATGCAGTCGCTGTTTGTATCAGTGTCTGCACTGTGAGACTAGGCTGGCAGCATGCTGCATAGGCTCTGTACGTTATTGTATTATTATTTTGCATAGCCACAGACAATGGACTTTGTGTCAGGTCCATGAAGAGACTGACAAAGATAGGCTCCGCTCAAGGCTTTAGAAAGTGTGATTAGTGTTAAATTAGAGTCTGTGCCTGCAGACTAGTATCAAGAGTTTGCTGCCCTGTGTCGAGACACCTGTTGGCTATCCAAGTGCCTCTTTTTCATTCAATACTGGTCACGTGTGATGAACACCTGGATGATGATGAAGCATTTGCTCTACTTAAGTCATGCCTGGTGATGCGGGTATTCACTTTTTAAAGTGCTAGGGCTTGGGTTGCAATTATGTTTGACCTGACTGCTAAGAAAGCTTGTGTAGGCTTGTGCTCAGGCGCGGATCCATGGGGGGGGGGGGCGACGGGTCCGCCCCCCCCCCCCCCGGTTACGAGCCCGAGACCATTGTTCTACAACTGAACCATCGCGGTTCCTCAAGTCCCAACCATTAAACTTGTAAATGCAATATCAATATGGCGTAGGCCTAGGGGGCCATCGAATATAAACAAACTAGTGAGGGCCTACAGAGCAAGCTCTGTTTTAGACAACATTCGGCAAAACTCACGTTGTATTTACAAAACGATGTATTCAGCTAATGTTTTCCAAAATCGTTAAATGATATACATGATAATTATATTCATTTTGAATTGAATCTCGAAACAGCTTTTTTTTTTCTTTCTCTCAATCCTTTGCAGTAAAACAATGAGGATTATTGAATGGAAAATATGGCTGATACTACCGGCGATTTCCTGTGCTTACGTACTCGGTAAGTTAGTTGTCTCTATTTAATTGCAGAGATATCGCATTTGCATTTTGTCGCACTTTGTTTCCAATAGTTGGTGTATCCAAAGTCATGTATTATTAATATGCGTTACGTTCGGAAAAGTGTGATATACACTTGTTTACGTTAGAATGATACAAACATGATTTTATGGCCTTCATTTTTCAAAGATCGAATATAGATTAAAAAATAAAATCATCATTTTGAAAAGATAATCTGTCAGGTTGCTTAAATGGTGTATGAAAATTATCTAAATAAGTTGTTATATCTTCCAATTAGCAAACGTCAGATGTATATAAATGTCAACAGAAGGGTTATCATAATTCAGAAGTGTCGAATGTATATTGAAACACACAACAACATTCATTGCATCTCCTTTTTCTATATATAATATCTCTCCCCTCTCTCTCTCTCTCTCCCTTTTTCTTCCTCTCTTAATCTTAATCTCTCTCTCTTTCCCCCTCTCCCCTCTCTCTCTCTCTCTCTTTCAGGACAAGACATGGTGAACGTGAGAGGGTGTCCTTCAAGCATCAATGTCGGCACAGATAAGGGCAAGAACCAGGCCAGTGTGGAATGGCCGGAGCCGGAGTTCATAGATACCGAAGAACAGCGGGTCATACCGCTCAGATCCCATGCACCCGGGGACACGTAAGGATACACTGGCGTATTCAGGGGAGATGGAGGGGGTGGGGGCACAGGGTAAACATGCCCCTTTACCAGTGGTACAGAAATATCAGTAATTTTAAATTCGGTTTGGGACTAACCCGATCGATGAAAAATTCGACGTTTATTTGCCTCTTTTCTCCGCAATTACACAAATTTCGTTTAAAATCCTTTAAATACTGTAGCAAGAGTCTTTTATTTGTACTGCTTAACAATCGATGTGAATTTGAATAGACACTGTTGAAATGTTTTTTTTACCATTACCATAACTCAACCTTATCTTTAGAGGGGACTGTTCTTACGAAGCGAATGGAACACAATTATTGAACTGAAGTTATGGTCACAACACCAAAAAGTAGCTTGCTCGGCGGTCGGGCGGCGAGTTTTGAGGCAATTTCGCTCGGGCACCGCTTGTTTTTAGGGCATCGCACGGTCGCTGCTGAAGTTTTAGCGCGGAGTTAAAATTCGGGCGGCGCCGCCCAAAGTACGCTCGGTGCCGTGCAGGGCGGGCGCCCGGGCACCGATCTAATCGAGCGTTCGCCGTCGAGCGATTTAGGTCGAAAATCGAAGACGCTAGTTCAAAGGCTGCCGAGCAGTCGCCGCCTGGTCGCCGGCCGGCCGCCGCGGGGAGATCATTCGGTCACTGAGGGCGAGTCCTAAATCGGTCGGCAGCCTTTGACCTAGCGGCTTCGATTTTTGACCTAAATCGCTCGACGGCGAACGCTCGATTAGGTCGGTGCCGGGCACCGAGCGTATTTTGGTTCCCCGCTGATTACCGGCCGGGCGCCGGGCAATTTCTTTAAAATTAGCCGGTGGCCGGTGGGAGACCGCTCGGAAATCGGTGGGTCATCTGTCGGTCACTGCCGAAACGCTGCAGCTCTCCGATTTTGCCCAGTTTTTACCTAAAATCGACCGGCGACCGACAGGAAATCGACAGGGCACCGCCCAGGCATCCCTGGGGCTCTACAGCCTGGTCGACTTCTCAAAAAAAACAAAAAACAAAAAAAAATCGTTGGGCGATGCCTAAATTCCAGCGGCGACCGAGCAGGCCACTAATCTGTCGGTCGCCGCTCTGATTTGTGACCTTAGCTTGAATCAGGGAGGATGTGTTTACGACTATTTCCTTTTCTTTTGCTTTGCATTACTCATGGAGGTGCAATGATCTAGTGGATACGTCACTGGACTGTAAATCACAAGGTTCACTGTCCGAGTCCTGCCGCGGTACTAATATCCTTTGGCAAGACACTGATCTACATTAGCCACGCTAGACCCACATGATGCAAATGAATACCAGACAAGAATGAATTACTTGAAATGTTAGAGCGCCATAATTAGAGAGCCGATGTAATAACTGTGTCAAGCCTGACAGACACGAGCGCTTCAAAATAACCAACTAGGCCTATCATTATTATTATTTTATATAGTTTTATTGGTGTTTTTATTATTATTTCAACAAGGTATATAGCTTAATCAGTCCCATCTTTATACATCACCGTGCATGATTCACATCCTTTGCCCTCTTGTAATTCTCTTTTTTTTTAAATACAAAATTGACAATTTATATAATTATTTATATTCTAAGGTTCTTTGTTGGTGAAACAACAGTGCGATACACAGCATACTACATGGGCACCAAGGCTTCATGTGCTTTCAATATCGTTGTACAAGGTATGTCGCGCCCTCTATAGTGTGTTTAACGATTCCGGAAGATCCAATCATGATGATGATATTGATATCAAATGTATGATTATGCATGATAGCGTTAAAATCTCAATAGGTGATGGCTTTACAAAACATCTATATCGATTTGAGAGTATCACACAATATATCCATGATATACAATATTTCCTTATGATAATCTATTTAAAGATTGAACACCATGGGCTTATGCTTAGTAATTTAAAGAGGAATCGCCAATATTCTATGGCTGTAAGATGATACAATTTGACGTATCATTACAATCTAAGGTGTATTTGTGGACTAGTATTACGGGCCGTGTTGTAACAAGAAATTCATCTCGAAGATGCCTAGTTTGTTGATCTCGATTTATTCACCTAATAATTACGCTAGGCGATTGCTTTTTTGATAGCTGAAATAGTTAGATAAACAAGCTGTATTTTTCATTATTTTCTTGATCTTCACAAGCAACTTTAAATTAAAGTTACACGAAGGTTCATTTACCCGTCGATGCCTATAGCTGCACAAATTCAAATAAGAAAGGAAAAAAAATCATGCCGATTTTATGTTTTTTCTTCTTTAGACAGGGAGGTACCTCATTTTGTAACATGCCCCACAAGCGTGGTCACCACAACTGACCCAGGAGAGGCGTTTGCTTCCGGAGTCACATGGAAGAGACCCTCTGCAACAGACAACATCCGATTGGTCGAATTCGGCTCGAATCCACCAATAGGATCACGGTTCTTAATGGGCGTGACCAAGGTGATGTACTGGGCTATCGATCCAAGCGGTAACAGAGGAGAGTGCAGATTCAACGTTATCGTCGAAGGTACGTCATTGCATACTGGCATAGCTAAGGCGGGGGGGGGGGGGGGTCGTGCCCTGTCAATCAATCGCATATCGAAAAGGGGGAACAACATGGAAAAAGGAGAGGGGGACGTGAAGAGAAAATGATCGACTTCTTCCTATACCCACCTTTTGGTCGGCGGCTATGCTATTTCATCCACCAAGTGAGGCTTGTACCCAGCCCCTTCCAGCCCCTCCCACCCCTGTGATTAGCTGGAACTCTACTATGTCACTGATTAGCTGGAAACCCAAATCTAAGAAATTGGGAGAGAATCATGTTTGCCTTCGAGTACACAATTTTACAAATCTTGTGTAAATAGTTAAAAGGGCATAATCTTTAAAAAAAAAAAATCATCAATAAGGTTTGAACATTAAATTTTTTTCATAGGTTTTTATTCATTTCTCTCAAAAAGAAAATTACACATAATGTAGAACATTTTATACAAAATTACAAATAATCTTCAACTTTGCAAGCGAACAATTACTTATAAAGTTACATATAAAATGTTCATATAAAATATATTTGAATTCCTTGAAATGCTGTGAGCGTCGAAATCGGCAGCCTAGCATAGCCGGGTAATTTACGAGCGCCTTGAGGACCTTGCAAGGTCGATACGTGCGCTATATAAGAATCCAATATTATTATTATTATTATATGAAGTTACACATTTACAGAAGAAAAATATTCACATTAACAAAATTATAGTTTCACATTCATTTTAAACAAATCACACATAAATTTGTTAACAATTTCCTCGTTCAGCTTGCATATATAGGTCTCCAATTATTTCTTGTCTTGTTTGATGATGATGGTGATGATGGTTATGGTGATGATCGCTTCTTGTAAAGCGTCGGTATCCACCTCTGATAGGTGCTCATGGCGCTTGCTCTACAATAGTGACTTTTAGATTTGCACGTCGACATAGTGGACTGCTACGTGTGACGTCCTTTGAAGGCAACGTGACGTCCTTTTAAGGCAACGCCAGTGACTGAAAAGGAAGTCACACGTAGCAGTCCACTATGTCGACGTGCAAATACGTCATTTTAAGGCAATGTGATGTCCTTTTAAGGCACCGCCAGTGCCTCAAAAGGAAGTCACACTTACCAGTCCACTATATTGACGTCCAAATCTGAAAGTCCCTAATGTCTCAAAATTCTACGTGCTTGGTCAGTGTTTCAAATTCAGATTATTTCCATTAGTCTTTGTTGGCATTAGTATTATTCTTGAGATGATGTCGTAGCTAGGAAAACGAAAGTCTTTAGGAAGTTTAGGGCTGATATGAACTTTAAATCCCTAATGCACTACGTATAGCTACTTGCGCCCTCTATACAGCCAACAATGCCTAAGTGGTACCCGTTGATCCCCCATGATGCCCTTTTTCTTATGTTATTAGAGAGCTGATTTGATGAGATAACCACCTGCCAGTGACCTTGCAGGGTGGTCTAATCCCTCCATGCCAAACTAGAGCAGATGGGCTTCAAATAGTTGGAATAGGTACTACATCCTCATATTTTAACCCGTTGACTACTAGTGAATTCTCCTATTCCCTTATGCGTAAAATACAGGGTCCATCAGGCTCCCGTAAGATTGATGATGGCATCAGTTACATTTAGTTAAGATAAGAATCAATTGGTCAATCTGTTAAGAGGGATCTAAATTTATTCTTGAGTGTGAACTTATTCTTGCAAAGACTTTCAGTTTAGTTTCTTTTATTTCACATGAAAATACAATACATTAACAAAACCTAGCATATTTACAAAATTGATATTCGTGAATAATAAAGACATCTACATAGCATAAGTTTGTATGGCATTTACACTAAATAATTTCGAAAATTACATGTGAAAAAAGGAACTTAATAAAAAGCAAGTAGCTTGTAGAATTTAAGTTCCTCAAAATAATTTTGACACAGTGTCATTCATAATAGTTTTTAAGAAAGCAAAGTATACAGACAAAAACAATGAAATGATATGGATGATGGATGTAAGAAAGAAGAGAAATAGGAAGAGAAGGTAAAGAATGGGGGTCAGAAGAAGAATGAGAAGAGAGAAAAGGAAGTTTTTAGAATAGAATGTTTAAGGTCTGGAGTCACAGTCGGGGAAAAAATAGTGTATTTGTGCATTAAATGTACGAATTCAATTATAACAATTTGATATGTTTTTTAAAGCTGTCAAAGTTTTTAAGCTTTTATATACAAACCACTGCCATTAGAGACCATTATGCTCAGCGACCATTATGACATATACCATGACATTGTGGACTTTGAATTATTCACAACATTTGATCTATTAATTTTGTAGACAGGGAAAATCCAACCCTCCACCGAGTTGTTCACAACATTGATCTATTAATTTTGTAGACAGGGAAAATCCAACCCTCCACCGAATTATTCACAACATTTGATCTATTAATTTTGTAGACAGGGAAAATCCAACCCTCCATCAGTGCCCATCTAACATGGTTGTCAATGCCAATCCGAAGGAGACACTTCGGAGCATCAGCTGGACCGAACCAGTGGCTCGGGACAACGCGGACGTCGCTCGGGTAACTTCGACACATCGGAATGGGTCACTGTTCCCACTTGGCACTACGCATGTCAGATATACAGCCGAAGATTACTCGGGAAACACAGGCACGTGTTCATTTTTCGTCACACTGAGGGGTAAGGCAAATTAGACTTGAACATTATCGATATGATATCGATTGAACCGTTAAACGCAGCATCTTGTAAGTTGTACCTTGATAGGCGTACAGTCGGTTAATCATTACAACATCATTACAAATCATTGAAAGTTGCATATGACAACATAACAACAATTCTCGACTCATTTCCATACATTTTTACGGGAAGGAAAATAGTTTTGAACACATAGAAAAGGTATAATAAAGGTTTTACTTTGTCTTTGGCAGTTTTAAAGTTTAAAAAGTCATACAAATTTTGCTCAGGCAAACTTTGCTGCGGGCATTCTTTCTTCAAAGAAAGGCCTATACTGCTAGGGTTTGGGATGCAATTATTTGTGTGTTTTAAAAAGAATACTTATGCAGGGAAATTGTAAGTGAGGATTTAGTATATTATTGGTTTTGAGTTAGTAATTCGGTATCGTTAAATATTCATAGCCTATAGCTGTTATCACCAGAGTTTTACGATTCATTGAAAACCTATCAGCAGGCGTTCACGGTGATAGATTATGGAAATATTAGCTTCTTTCTCTTGTCAACATGGATAATCGAAGAACTGAACCGGGTCGTTTTCATGATTGACTTAGTAAATGCTCTGGTCGATAGCCCTTTCTTATCCTTCCTTTTCACTTAGTAAGAGTGCCGGACGCGCAGATCTTCATCCGTAACTACACTACCACATCAATCCACATAGCCTGGCCCGAGACGACGGACCAGCAGGCATCAAGTTACCTCATCTACGTCTGGCCGTCAGAGGGAAGGGAGCCCTCTGCGTCGGACCACCTATACCATGGTATCAACAGGGCTGAGAGCTTCGCTTCAAGGCGTCTGGGTCCATTGATGGTAGGGATGGACTACGACATCAAAGTGGTGGTGACGGGAGCCAAGCAGGTGATGAGGACCAAACAGAGAACCAGTGAGATTCCTTTCAAAGATCCGTTTCACAAAGCCTTTTTTCAATGACAAATGACAAACATCAGTGACAAATCTGCTGATAACCAATCATAGGCAAGGATTTCAGTAGCTTATAACAAAAACTGTCATTTGTCACGGATGACAAGTTTTGTGAAACGCCCCCCTCCCCAGTAGTTGAATTATACAAGGGCAAACATTTTAGCGCATCCCAGATTATCAAATGGAGTCCACGCATTCTGGATATTATTTGTATACCACAAGGGTGTTCCAGGATCACATACATGAACATGAACAAAATAGGAAAATACATATATCTACTAAATGGAATAACAATTATTGATTGCAGCTGGTGCGTTTGGGATAAAGGAGCTGTCATGGATTTCATTTTGATGGATGTGTATGATCAGGGAACAAGCCGCAATTCGGAATAGACTAAGAGGTGGTCAATTACATAAACATGCTTCATTACAAACTTTTGTTTAGAAAAGCTTTTCGATATTGGATTGCTTGCGTGACTTATGTTATGTCAAAGAACGGACTGCTTGATTTGTTGCTTTGCCTGAAATGCAGGTAAGAAATAAACACATTGCCAATTATATCATAGGGACAATAATCTTCTTTATGATGAAGTGGTTGTTCTGGATCTACATCAGATATATATTGTATACGTTTACTGACACATAAATTGTTGTTGTTGTGTATTCCATGTACATTACAGGGCCTGCCCCTCCCCACAATGTCTCCATTATACCAGGTACCATTACACCTGTCGCCTTCACTTTGCTGTGGAAGCCGGGTAACGGTTCATTCGAGAGCCATGAAATCACGGTTCGCCGGTTATCTGATAGGAGCGTTGTCTTCACGAAATCTGTTGAGAAGAGTGTGAACTCACTTCACGTAACCGGTCTGGAACCGTACACCAGTTACAAGATATCGATTCGGACCGTCAGCGGTTATTCGACTGACGTAACAGAGAGCGAGGAAATAAATATTATGGTTAAAACAGGTGAGAAAATAGTGTATACCTTAATTTGAGACAGCTTTCCTTTTTTGGATATCAAGTAGTGTCGTAAAGAGTCCCAAGGACCTCTTTTTGCATTACAAAAATCGTTGATAACAGGAAGCTCCAGAAAACAAAACAGACAAATAAAAAAAGGTTTGAAAACCCCACTACTATTGACTTTAAATGATCAGCAGTACTAGTGTTATGTGGGCCTACCAGACGTCTGATAGTTGTAGGAATGAGTAGGATATCCTTCAATCGTATTTTTTGTTGTTAGTTTGTTGTTTTCTTTGAACATATTCTACCAGCCCCCGTTTTTTACCTTTAAGTGTGACGTGGATAACAACAAATGGATATCATCTGATCGTTTTCCACAGCACTAATGCCACCATCCGGGATACTTGTTCGTGAGATGACCGCAGACACGATTGCCATAATGGGAAATACATACCCATATGCTGACGGCGACGACGATGAAGACGAAATCGATGACGATAGCCTCTTCGACCCCCAACAGATGACGTCACAAAGCCATGATGCACACATTCTGTTCATCTACTCCGAGAAGGGAGATTTGTTTACGGATGTGGTCTTCAATCAAGGCGTCTGGAGTTATACCTTTCATGATCTGAATCCGGTGACGAGTTACACCATCAGGGTGGTGAATAATCAAAATGGCGTGGCATTCGAGACAAATTCAACTACAAGTAAATATTTTTCTGTACAATATAGAATCATACACGTCTTAAAGCATATCTGTACTAGTTTATAGGAGAGATTAGATCACACTGCAAGGTCACTGGACAGATGGTTATCTCATCAACTCAGCTCTCAAATAACATAAAGTAAAAAATGATCATGGGGGACCAATGGTTACCGATTAGGCATTGTTTTCTATATAGAGGGAGCAAGTAGCTACAAGTAGGACAGTGTGGCTTTAAGCAGTGCGCAACGCTTTGTTACTACAAGGAAGCATCGCTGTATAAAATAGCAAGGAATGGCGCTACATCAAATAGGCCCACCTTATAATTTCTTTTAATTTCAAAATTGGAAAAGATAAATGTAGATGGGGCTGAAATTAAATCTAAGTTTGGACAATATTGACTGAACTCTATCACCTTCTCTCTCTCTCTCTAAAAAAAGGCTTAAAGATGAATTCCATGTTCATTTTTCAACTTATCTGTCTGTTACAGAACCAGCACCGGTAACCGATCTTTTCCTATCTGCCATCGATCATTCCTCTGCAACTGTCCAATGGGCGCACGCCATTGGATCACGTGACCGATATGAAATCATCCTCACTCCAGCACCAAAACACAAGCATCGAACTATGCCAATTAGAACCAGAAATGACGTCATTACTTTCACGGGTCTTGAAGCCGGAACCACTTACGACATGCGCATTACTACTAGGAAAGGAATTTTGACGAGTGATGACAGACATTTGAAAATAACACCAGGGAAAGACCAAGCATTGTCAATGTTCAGAGCCAGAGGTATTTTTAAACAGCATTATGATCTAATTTTCACTAACCTCATCGACACGAGACCGAACAAAAAAATCCAATGGCCAAGATTTTACCAACTTTACCAATTTTACTAATTTGGAGTCGTTGAGGAGTCTGTTTTATCGTGTTTATTCCGACGAAATTTCTGTAAATTCATTTGTGGATATTGTTTTATTATTACACTGACTGTGGCCTCTAAATGTTGCGATCTTCGGGGCCAGAGATGCTCCCACTATAAATGAACAATAATCATCCTCCTTACCGTTGTGCTTCTTTTATATTTCACATTAAAACCAAACAGATTAGATACTCATCAGTCCCCCCCCCCCAAAAAAAAGGGGGGGGGGGGTTGCTGCAGTCTCTCCTTTTTTAAAAATCATGTATTAATATCCAGTGCTCAGCGGCTGTTACAAAGATGGCATAAAGACTGCTACAGGCGTGAAAAGAATTAACAATGGAAAATTATTTTGAAGATGAAACAAGTTTCCACCTTAATAAATGAAAAAGAACAGGTAAATTGCTTACGTTTCTTTTCTTTTTTTCTTTTTCTCGTTTCTTTTTCAGAGAGCACATGTCTATCACCAATCATCGCGTGTGGTTTACTAGGTGCTGCGCTGCTGCTCTGTGTGGTTTACTTAATCGCAGTCTTCATCTTCAATAGGAAATTTCCAGCGGTAAGTTTCCATACTACAGTCGATTCCCATTAGAACTGAGTCCAAGGACAATGCCAGATACCTACTTTAATTGACATTAGCAAAATGTAACACACTAACAAAATGAAATGGTCCCATGCTACCACATTGTTATTAAACGAACAAAACTTGCTTCCAGTTACTGGTAGAATCCAATGCCGGATATTGGTTTAAACTTTAAAAGCTAAGTCAATCAAACTTCCTCAGTACATCTCCACACTCTTTCAGCAGCATTCCACTTCGTCCTTGGTTCTTAGTTGGTTGGTCCTCCAAAATACTCGTCTGAGTTTTAACTGGAGGTGCGGGTAGGGTGTATTAATTTGTAGATGATTAATGATGAATAATAATGCTGATAATGAAAACTGTATTGATTGTTCTCTTCCGGCAGAAACTCCGCTCTCGTCGGCCGTCGGAGAACGAGTACGAGAACCCCTCTCATCATCAGTACTCCTCCTACCTGAACTCCCTCACAAACCGCATAGCATTGATGAGACGGCCTGAGAGCAACAACTACAACCTACCTCACCATCACCATGTTAGAACTAGTAGGACGTTTAGTAGGTTACCAAGGAGACAAAGCCCGCATCACACCCTACAAAGGTAAGTCGGACATACATGGCGGACGGTATGCTAGCGTCGGCTCTCTGCAAGAAGGCCGTTGGAGTAGTGTCACAGGCAGTAATGGCCTTCTTGCAGGAAGCCGACGCTGTGTGCTTACTAGGTTTGCACATCGACATAGTGGACTGCTACGTGACATCCTTTTAAGGCAATGTGACGTCCTTTTAAGGCACTGCCAGTGCCCGGCAGTGCCTTAACACGACGTCACATTGCTAAAAGGATGCCACACGTAGAGGTCCACGTTCTTGTCGTGTAAATCTAAAAGTCCCTATTGATGCAGCGAGGACCGTTGGGGGTAACACACCCATTTTGCTTCTAAGATTTTAGGCCAAACCCATGACAGCAAATTCATGAATCTGATGGCCGATCCTTATTGGCAGCGATGGAGTGTAATCAGTGCATTCGTTCGAATCCTTCCTCATCACATCAGCTCCTTTCAATCTTCCGGGACTGTAACCCACAATCCAGTTTGTTTACCGTCATCTCTAGAATGTGACACTACTCAAAAGGAGAGGTACTCGTGTACTACGTTACCAAAATCGTTCATCCTCCAATGAGAAATACCTAACAAATAATAAAGTCACTCGTTCAGTTTAAGTGTCAAGTCACTTTCATTTATCGGACTCGGGTAAATTGAAATTCGTATTCTTTATTTTTTTATATCTCTGATTCTTTCTTTGTTTGTTTGTTCTTCCACAGGACGCAGAGTGAATCGGTAATTTATTACAACCTATCAGACTGACGGAGTTTTTAAAGATTGTGTGTTTTTTTTTAAAGCTGTTGGCCAAAATACTTTCGCCAGTTGAAATTCCTTGATCGGATCGTAGTCCACGCGGCCTGTCAATATCAGTGCAGCATATGTAGAGGTGTGGTGGTCTAGTGGATGAGTCACCGGGTATAGTAAATCACTTGATACGTGGTTCAAATCCTTGCCACAGACGGACGTCCATTGGTCAGACATTAGTCTAAATTTGCCGCACTCGACCCAAGTGACGGAAGTGGGTGGTTTATTATATGATGCTCCATGTGCAATTGGCACTGGTAACAGCTGCCGGAGCTAAAGCCGGGAAAATCACTTCTAAAACTCCTCGGAAGGAAACATGGACGTATCATAATGTGTGATGTACGCTATACAAGCATGATAAATATTTTAACATGTTTATGTGTCGAGGTGTCACTGAGAATGTCATCGAAAATGGGCCACGCATGATTTTCGGAGTCTATTGATACGACGGGAGATATAATTAGTTTGACATGATAGAATAAAATGACATCGTCAATGTATACGATCTTGGAAAATACAAGCTTTTGACACTGAAGCGCATGAACCAAATAATCTCCTTAAATTGTTCCAGGGTATAGCAGCAAAAAAGCATCCACGTTGTGACGCTGAAGATGACTAGATCCAAACGATTCACTCTCGTCGTTGTTCTACAAATTAAAGAGTAAAACCTTGAGATTTCAGTTCGGTAGTGATAGCCGGTTATGTCCTATTAAAGTGATAAGTGAAGATACGATAGCTTGGTAAGTGCTTCTTTTCTTTACCAGATAGCTATCCTTGATGCTTCGCTCCTGTGTATGGGCATCGCTTGACCATTTCGAATGGAGATGTTCGACAAATACTTTGCCATCGACAAAGCTGAAGTTTTTTTCAACAAGTATCATGAACGTCATTAGAGTTTGAAATTTTGAAAAGCTACAAAACGTTTACGGGTTTCAGAATTTGCTGACTGGCGTTCACATTTCGTCCAAATGACCTTTAAGTTGATCTAAATGTCCAAATCCTTGAATCAGTTAAATCAAGCAATATATTTATTTGTTGTCTTATTCTCAAACTTAAATGTACTCTGTAAACTTATTTTATTACGTACATACTTATCAATATATCGTTACTTGTATAATTAATTTGTTCTATCATATACTGTAATACTATATGGTTTGTATGTGTCATTTTAATTTGTGGATATTTGAGTGGAAAAATGTTAAATCAAATCAAATCAAAATCGTAATATTTCCACTTTGCCCCCTGTATTGACGCCCCTGATCATGTGGTAACCATCGTAATTAGATTATTGCTCGTCTAAAGGAAATACCTCTGTTACGCTTTCAGATGGAAACCGAGAAGTTTGAAAGAAATAGAAAAGGATAAGAAAATGAATTCCATGCTAGGATCTTTGCACCAAACCATCGATTGAAGTGAATTATTGAGCAAAAGGAGGGGTGATTGAAAAGTAACTTTTCCTAAATACCATGAAAATCTGTCTTCGTGCGGATTTTTTTTTTGGGTGGTGCGAATTTTGATTCCATCTGTGTATTGAGACAAATCTTGCTAAATCATTAATTTGGTGTGATTATTGAATAAATTATGAAACGAACTCTCCAGGATATGTTATATGAACCTGATGAAGTGTACCATGGAGTACAATGTCGTCTAGCGTATATCCGTGTACTTTTGTAAATGATTGTAAATTAAAGGAAAATAATGATGAAAATAAATTTATAGAAGTATTTGAAGTCATAGTAATTTATTTTGCCTTTATTAACAGGCATCCAAAGAGACTTTGATATCCTCGATCATTTTTTTGCATTAACGTATAGCGATTATAAATGTATTAGCAGAAAAGTAGAACATTAATGCACAGTTGTAAACATTCCTTTAAAATGCAATTTATCCTCTATAGAATATTTCCATACTGTTTTTTCATATTAAAGGTATAAACCAGTTTTAAAAACGCCCCCTCTCAAAAATGAAATGGAAGCTAGTATTACCAATCAAGGGAAAGAAAATGTTTTGATTAATACGTGATGATACAAACTTTGCCGGGAAACCGCCTACTAATTGATATATTTGGTAAATTATCATATCGATCCGGCCTTGATAGATATCGCGAATGCACTTCAACATTGAACATTTGGGCATAAATTTCTGCTTTTGGGGAAATTTAGGTTGTAGTATTGCCATCTAAACCTCTGAAGGCAATATTTAAACAATATTGAATGGGTATTTTGCACCCAAAACCCTTGAACCACAATTTTATCACTACCTGTCTATATCTTTAAATGTTTTGCTATTATATATACTGATAAAGGGAAGCATAATATAGTTTTCATGGATTTGTATATTATACAAATCCATGAAAACTCAGTGTAAGAACAAGTAAGAAAAAATAAACAGACGACACTCGAATAGATAACTTCGAATAATTTGATTGTGTCTATATTTACATAACTATATATAGCTATTTGCAAAATACCCTCTTTCACTTTGAAATCCATCGAAATTCCCAGTAGGAACTAAACATAACATTTTGTAATAGAATATAACATCCTTTTCATCGTTTAAACTGTAAAGATACTATGTCCCTTTTGTAGCCAACATCAAATTCTGTACAACTTTGCAGGAATTATGAATATGTTATGTACGTCCTACGTATGAAATTTAAACTTGAGCAGTGTCCTAATATTCAAATTATGCAAGGAAACCCGTTCACTTGCTAGACTTCACTGTCAGACACTATTGAGTGACTGACTGGCTTTTTTCATCTTTGGTAATAAGATACATAAAATGAGCTGTAAATGGTACATGAGCATTTGTCTACATCAATAACCCACTTCTTGTAATGGCCAAAATTAAACCGATTGAATCTTTGCGCAGCACAAAACGTACGACCATTTGGTACAATGGTCTGAAAAATCAGACTATTACTTACTGGCTCTATAGCTCCTAAGTCGATTCGACAACTATTAGTCGTTATTTTCCCACTTAAAGACATTTCTGAGCCCCCCCCCCTTTTCAGGGAAGTTCTAAATTAGTATTGTCTTTCAAATGCCGTTGGAACTTAACCTTTTCATTTTTTTGGCCTGCAAATGGGACATAGTACCTTTAAGGTTTATGCAGAAGGATATATTTCAGATGCAACAAACTCCCCAATTGATACATTAATTTTCAAAGCGTAACTAATTTATTTAGTACCGTGCAAGTTTATCCACCCTGGTATAATCAATAACGAGTAATACATGTGTCGTTTCAATAAAGGTAAAGCTGGTGTTTACTTTCTAAAATCACATTTCGGGAAGGGTTTCATACAAAAGTGCCCAGCCTCTTCCTCCTCCTCTTCCCTTATGAAAACCATGGATGCACCCTTAATAATGAATGTTCAAATATGTACCAAGACCCTCTCTATGAATACATATTGCTAAATGTAATCCTGATTAATGGGAAATATCGCTTTTGTAATTGCCATTACTTATATAGGTCATTTACATAGTGTCACTTAAAACTACAGTATTACTGCATTTTGCCACTTCCCTGAAAATAAACCTGTTATTGCCAATCTATATTTTTTGAACCTGCATGCTGCAAACCGGCTACAAATGTAACACATTAGCTAACTATACTATTTTTAAAAGGCTACCTCGTAACAGGTCTATCTTATATGAGGAAAATTAACATCTTTGGTTTTGCTCAATAAGAATAAACATTATTTAAACATATTTGTGGCTGACACCCAGTAAATAAGATCGATTGAATAAGCATGTGACACCTGTTCTACACATTTGTACATAAGAGCAGTGAAGGGCTTTTCCTTTGTCTACCACAACAATTGTTGATGGTAGAATGAGGAACTGGGTATTTTGTCCTCTATCTTTGTCCGTCATGCTCATAGTGTCTCCGGACTGTGAATCACACGGTACGAGGTTCGAATCCCTACGAGTAATATGCAGCACCAAATCTCCTTTGGCAGGAAATTAATCTACATTCAACCACACTCCACCCAGGTGATGTAAATGGGTACCTGGCAAGAATTGATTCCTTAAAATGCTCGGACGATAATGGTAGCCGTTGGTAGCAATTGTGCCAGACATTAGTGCAATACAAGACCCCACTACTGTCACCAACATTATTGCTATATACTCAAAGTGGGATTAACCTACCAACAACATATCTGACCTTTGTTACCTTGACAAAAATCAGTAAAAGGGTCCAGAACTAGAATAGGTGAAGTCAGACAACCAAACATAATTATCCCCAAACGAAATAAACTGATTTTTTTTCGATCGAACCTTCCAGTTGCAATGCAACGCATGTGTCTACGTTCTGTATTAAAAAGACTTCATCGTTTGTCCAAGATGGCACCGCATGAAATTACAGACCGACGAAAAAAACGGTTTCGACGACGATGACAAAATCAATTAAAATACAGATTTAAAGTGTCATTGTTTTCTTCTCGCGCGAATGTCCAAACACCCGGCCCAGCAAGGAAGATTTGGTTCCGAATTTATACATTTTGGCTTCGCGATACAGCTCGTGCAAGAGATCAACGATCTGTTGGTAAGAGTCGGCTGCGGAGATCTCCAGGTAGGAACATCCAAGATCCTTGGCGAATTTCTCTCCTGAATGAAGAAAAAAAAAAGAGGAGATGAGAAGAATGAGATAGATAGACAGACGGAAAGGCAGAGGTAAGAGAACATGATAAATGAACATCAGAGAGATATTTTAACCGGTTTGTGCAAATTTACTCTATTCCCAGTGAGATGAAAAATCCCGTTAGACCGTATACAATGTTAAAATTAATCTGGTATGTTAAAAATTGAAGAAAAAAAGGTTTTGATTAACAAAGCAATGAGATGATTTGGAGATATTACTCGAGTATTCGACAAACTTATAATAACAGAATACTGTATTTTTACTAATAAATTGATATCATCTATATGGTCAAGGGGCATAACTGGGTTTCAGGCATTATATGCCACCAGTTGTTTCATGGAGTTTGGGGCGTAAAAATCATATGGATGAAATGCTAGCAAACAAGGTTTTAGAGGTGCTCGTTAAGTTCATTTTTGTATAATTTTCTTTTCACATCAAGTTTCCCTTGCCTTTTCTTTCTCCCTTTCTCCATTTATTAAAAAAAAAAAATTGCACCATTTAATTTAGGCACTTGCCACCCATGCCCCTACCTTCCTAAAGCTACATCACTAACAGTGGAAAGGGGAGCACAAATCCAAATATTCAGTTGTATACAAGCAAAAGTTAACAAATAAAAGTTATCAGATTTTGGTATGCCGTGAAGGCTACACATTTTCCCCTCCTACCTTTTGGACAAGGGGGACGTCCCCCCCCCCCCCCCCCACACCCGTGGTCCACTCTTCTGGATTCACCCCTGGCTGAATAAAATTAATACAACAAACCTTCTTTGGTACTGACTTTCCGTGCGTGCATCAAATCGGACTTATTCCCCAACACCATGAAGGCAAGAGGCGTTGTTTTCATGCTCCTAGCTTCATCCAGTTTTGGTCTCAATTCGTGTAGCGCCCTCATGCTTTGGGGATCGGTAATTGAGTAGACGAGAAGGAACGCGTCGGCCCAGGCAATTAGCTCTTCTGTTACAGAGTTCTGAATGATTGTTGTAATGGGAACAAATAGAGTTATCAGTTTTGG